CTTGCGGCGTTGGTCGTGCGCGCCCGTCCGCTCATCCAGCAGCAGATTCACGGCTCTCTCCACGTTGTTTCCGGCCTCACTGAGACGGACTCGGACCAGGGCCTCCGGGTAGCCCATGGCCGTAATCACCTTTACCCGACGCTCGGTCTCCCCTACGTCCACAGCAGCACCTTCTTTTGCTTCTGCTGCTGGTTTTGCTGACGGTGTTATGGATTGGACCTTCGGTGCTTTCGACATCTTGCTTTATTTTTCGCTTCTGCTTTGAGCTTCGTTTCAATAGCGAGGAGAGATATTCACGCGGCAAAAGAAGATGCTGATTCTGTGCCCTCTCTCGTGTTCCTTTTTGTTTCTACATTCTTTGTTGTTGTTCCCGAGCCACCAAAATCGCTCTCCCAACGGCAGGCCTGAAGACGCAATTGTATACCCTCACTGAGACTATAACCAAATCAATCAGATATTTAAAGCTCTCAAATGTACACGGTGCATCCAATTATATCTAGCCATGTTTAATAAAGATCATGCATACAAATTAGACGCATGGAATAGGTAGGTATGCCTTGACCAGAAAACATTTTGGTCGTGGAAGGGAAAGGGCATACGAAATTCAATGCTCCGGCAATGCTGATCTGCGAGAGCAGCAGCGTTGTTTGCCTCTCTTTCTGTAGCTACGACGTAGTTCTCCTGTTGCTGTTGTTCTCTCTCCCTTCCGTTTCCTTATTAGCTTCTTGTTCTTCTTTGACTGCCGCTCTCTCATTTCTATAAACAGTTATATCAGGCTGTTGTCGATATAAGCATATGTATGCATGTATGTTTGTGTGTAGGGTGTTTTGAAAGGAAAAATCTTGTGTGTGGGTAGCGATTGTTTTGGCTGCTTTTGGGGCACTGGCAATAAGTTACAAACAATTATACGCATATACACGCACACACACAAAGAAAAGGCAGAGGATTCCACAGCTGCTGCTGCTTTCCGTCTGCCACTTTGACTTTGACTCCTATGTATGTATGTATTTATGTGCTGCACAATTTTAAATAATCACCCCACTGGGAAATTTCAAGCAAAATACCCTTTCGTTCAGGCGCTCGCTCCCTTTTCTCTCTCTGTCTTTCTCTATCGCACTTTCTGTGTGTTTATGTGTTATTTACACTGATTTATTGCTATTTTCTTTTGGTTTGTTCTGTTTTTGGTCACTGTTTTGGTCTTCTTCGTTGGCTCGAGGGATTGGAGAATGCGGAAAGGGCTACGACGAACAAGTGGCCCGTAAAAAGCACTGCCAAACCCTCATCTATCACAATTTCTGGCCCGTTCTGCTCAGTTTTGGGTTAAAAACGCATTATTGTGCTTTTCTGGTAATTGAAGTTTTTAGTTTTCATTAGCCGGACAGGGGACAAGGGATACGACGTCGACAAGGGACAACATGATGAAGATTGCAACAAAGAGGTGCTTGGAATGGTGGGGGGGGGGGGGGGGGGGGAAGAAATAAGAGAAAGTAAAATAAATTACACATTTAGATTAACCCATTAACGACGGTTGGGAAATGAGTGTGCGCCAGTGCCATCCAACGAATATGGTACATATGTATGTACATACATATGTACATATGTATGTATGTACATACGACCCAAAGAGAGGGGAATGGTTCACCGACGACTTTTCCAAAGGGAAATATAGTAGCGGATTATCGTTACAGTCGCCACTTTCGTAAAATTGTTTGCAGGCGCTGCAGCGGAAATTTTAAAGCGGAAATTGAAAAGTTTTTCCCAGCGATTCCTTCCAGAACCTTTTTGAAATATTTGCGAAACGTGCACAGTCCTCGCCGATACTTATCAGGAGTTTCGGTGTCGAAGTCAGAGTCGCAGAGCTGGCTTTGCCGATTGTTCGATTTTACAACAAATGGCAAAATCACTTAACACGCCGTTAACACCCACATTAGTTGTACTTGGCCGCACACACACACACACATGCACACACACACGCATAGAGGGAGCCAAGAGCACGTGACAGTATGAGAAAGGAGTGGGACAGGCAGCGTTCCACTTACAGTTAGAGTTTCAATTACGTTAGCCACCACCAATGCCCCGCCAGGGAAAAACGCCTCTCATAGTCGAATTTAAGGAGAGTGTGGCAGTGAGAGAGAGTGAGAGCGAGAGCGCTTCAGTGGACGACTGAGTCATTAAAAACGCAGGGAGAACGATTGCACGCAAATTTACTGGTACCACCGCCGCTTTCCTTCCCACCCGCTGCTGCTGGTCACACGCACACACACACACATGTGTAGCACAGGGAAACTATGCATGGAATTGGCAATCGCACGTGTCGCTCTGGTCACCCGAGATAAGCAACTGCCGCCGCGTGGCCCTCGATCTCTTTCGCTCTCTCTGCAGAGAGAGGGAGAGATACCATCGATGGACGGATGATGGACTACGAGTTGAATGAGAGAGAGTGAGTGCGTTGCCTATTTATGACTTCGAATCCGATTGCCAGATCCATTTCTAGCGAACGATAATCGTTATTAATATTATTAGTGTTTGCGCGCTGCAGGCACACCCTTCCCCGCAGAGAAAGTACTATGGCTGTGGCAGACGAGGGACTGCGGGGATGTGCGGTGTTTGGCAGGACACTGCTCGAGTTTTTTTTCAGAAAGCCCTTGAAGAACTCTAAATGAGGGACTAGTAAGATCTACTAGGATTCCCTCCAAAGCCAATGAATAATTTAAATAACTTGAAATTCCCTTCTCAGGCAGGGTATCCTCCATTCGGTGTTCAGTATTCAGTATTTCCCTGATGTGTGCCCGCAATTTTTTTTCCAAGGCGATGAACTGTGAATTGGAAAATTGAAGCTTAGCGCGACACAAAAATGGCCGATAGATGGCATCTCTATAGATGGGAGCACGCACTCCCAAAAGGGATTTGGACATATTAGGGGGAAATGCTTTGGATCGGACCCACTCTTCCCCCCTTCCCGCCACCATGGAGCTCATTCGTCTTCTCTGACCAGAAATCCACCACAAATTGACCCTGTCGTCACATACGCAAAAGGGCAATGGGGCGGGGCCTACCCTTTACCCCTACCTACCACCTACTCAAAGGTTTTATGTCACACAAATTGACTCTGTGATCTGGATGCACTGGTATTGAATATGGAATAATGAAATGGAACCCAAGCTTAGCAAATCACAAATTTATGAGACAATCCATCAATGCCAGTCGGAACGGTTTTCAGGGGACTAGGGCACCACGAAAACGACCACGAGCGGCGCACCACCAGTCTAATCGCTTCCCACGATCGGCAGAGGCACTGGCAAAAGAAGAGCTACAGCCAGAGCGGGGAGCATTTCCATATGTAAAATTGCGCCTTTCATTAATCCGTAAATTAGAAGCATCGAATGATATCTGCGTCGCTTCCCTGACTGGAGTGCACCGCACCCCCTGTTCAGTCTCATGATACAAATCACTGCACACACACACACACACATGAATGCCATATGAAGGGCAAAGGCGACAGCGAACCCAAACCCAAACCCGAAATTCCTAACCCAATCCCACCACCACCAGTGAGCGCACAGTGGCCAAGCGAGCGGCAAATACCCATCCGAAATTTGAACAGGAAGAATCCATACTGACTACTTGATTATCAGACAGGAATATTAGGAATGATAAATTGTATATCATATAGATTGATACCCAATTGCATCTCTAATTGAACCGAGTGATAATAAGCAACTTTGCTCCTTGCTCTGCTGCCATTCCATCCCACTGTGCGACCCGCCATCGGCTTGAGCCTCGGTCTCGGCTTCGGCCTGGCACTGACATGTCAGCAGGAGAGAGAGACAGTAAATGGTTGGACAATCCTTGAAACGAAATGACATTTTTATGCTCGATACTCAAAGAGTATAGGGGAAGTAGCTGGAAGGAACAATAAATTTGCAGTGGCTACGATAGCATAGCCACTCGTTTACTCATCCCTCTCTTTTACACCCACGCACAGTCTTCATCGTGCAGTAGGCGCCCTCTGGCGGAGGGGGCCACACTGACTGAGTATCGGGTATAAATGTAGAGTCGCAGCCCTAGCTGCGACTCACAACGTTCCGGCTCGTTTATATTAAAACTGTATTAGCCAGACAGCGACGCTGGCAGAGACGCGGACGTTGCAGCGTTGCGGCGGCGCCTGTCAAAATCAGCAGCACGTTAGGGCATTTGAATGAGAGGAGGACGGAGCAACCCCACTGCATCTCCTCCCTTGTTCCTTGTTCCTTGCCCTGTTCTGCCCTGACGGCACCTTGCCAACGAACTGCACGCAGTGAGGCATAAAAAATGCGCCTGTCGGAGCAGAGAGAGAGAGAGAGAGAGCGGCTCAGGACAGGACATCAGGACTCAATTCGAGTGTGAAAGCGGAGCGATGGGCAGCCGCGACAGAATGTGACATAATCAAATTACCAAATGTCCTTCGTATGGAATGCATCCCAGTTCTTGGAAGGAGGGATTTAGAATTTCCTTTCCCTTTCGAAAATCTGTAAGAAAATTCTCCAATTCTCCGAATCCCATTGTGAATCCCCAGGAGAACCTTCCACGTGTCGCGTTGATGATGATCCAAGAGGGAGGTGCTTCTGCACTTCACGACGGTATGGCTGAGCTCTTCTGGGATCGGCCACAGCAGGAATCAAAGGACGAGCAACTGCCAAGCCACGGGGGGAGACTTCAATGATATCAGAATGTCGGTGGCGAAGCTGACTTCCAAGACTTCCCTAGAGGCCAGAGAAGATGCAGGAGAAGCAGGTGGTGTAGCTCGTGCACCCAAACGTCGCCACCTCATAACAGACGCCAGTCAGTGGCTCGCGTAGAGACAACGTCTGCCTTCCACGCACTGATCGCTTCGATGTTCAAGAAGCCCAGAAAAAAGTATGATTCAAAAATATCCCTTAATCCTTCATCCTGTATCCTGTATCCCATATTCCAAATCCACTTCATAAATAAAATGCCTGTGGACACTGTGGAGAACTCACCTTGAACTCGGGGGAAGTGGGAGTGGCCGCGGGATTCAGCTCGATGTTGATGTTGTTGGGCTCCATGATGAGGCCCAGGCTCTGGAGGTTGCACACCTGCGGCATCTGCATGGTGGGCGTCGGCACCTTGAGCACGGCGACAGTGCAGTCGATGCTCGAGGCTGTCACCGTGGCCGTTGCGGGCAGCGTCTCCGGCATCCTGTCCTCCCTCCTATTCTTTTATGTGTGGTGCTCCTCTTCCTGGTTCCTGCCGTCGCTCTGCAATGGGATGGAAGGAACGACATTGGATTTATTCGGACGGAAGCAAGGGATCAAGGGGACAGTATCAATAGCTAAGAGTGGGCCCAAAACACAGGTGTTTTCTCGTTTAAATGCGAATTGCGTTTGCAATTTATTTTTAGCGTTCAGTTTTGGTATAAGTTCAAAGATCCAAAGTAATTCCTACGATAATAATAGTAGCACGTGGCGCCTCTGGGCCCAAAAATACAAAACGTACATATACAAAAAAAAAAGATTACAGGATGAATGCGGTTTATAAATTAAAGGATAGGCAGGCACCGCACATCCGTGCGGGAAAGTATCCAGGCTTAGGCCTGCTGACGTCTCCGAATTTCTCCAGGCAAATCCTCCAGCTTGACGCTCGTCTCCTGCCGTGTGGTAACCTCGCGCAGCTTGACAAGACCCTGGGCCAGCTCCGCGTCGCCCAGGACGACAACCAGGGGAATCTGGTGCTCCTCGCAGTGCTGCAGTTGGACCAATAGCTTCGGATTCAGCTTGTACGAGTGCTCCGCCTTTGGAAGGGGAGATTGGGATTCGATTATAAGGTTACTTGAATAAAAAAGGGGGCTCCTTAAACGCACCTTGATGCCTGCATCCCAGAGCTGGTTGAGCACGCGCAGCCGCTGCTCGTGGAGACCCTTGTGAGCGGATGCCACGTACGCCTCCACATCGTTGGTGCGAAGCTTCACCTTGCTGGCTGCGAACCGGGCCTCCAGCACTGCGAATATCCGCTCCACGCCAATTGAGACACCCACGCAGGGAACGGCCTTGCCGCGTGTATCGAACATTCCTACCAGGTTGTCGTACCGACCGCCACCGGCCACAGATCCCACGGTGGCCTGCTCCGCGGTCTCCCCGTTCTGCTGTGGGGACTTCGCCGGGGGTCTGCTGCTGGGCTCCGCCTTGAGCACACCCTCGTAGATGACGCCCGTATAGTAGTCGAGGCCACGCGCCAGACTCAGGTCGAAGCTTACCCGTTTGTCCAGGCCGAAGATGGAGCAGTACTTAAGCAGCAACTGCATCCCCTCCAGACCCTTGACCGCATTGGTCACTGCTTTGAGCTTGGGGTCCGCCAGCAGCTGCTCCACCAATTCCGTTCCGCCGCTTAGGCGCACATACTCGCCAATCATTTCGGCCGTTGCCTCGTCTAGGCCCTTCTCCGTCACCATTTCCTTGCGCACATCCGCCCAGGGGGACTAGAAGAAGAATCATCTTGATTAATGCATATCCAAATCAGAGGTGACACGTCAGAAGCGTGTCCATGTCCCAATCTACCTTGTCCAGCTTGTCCACTGCCGAGCAGATGGCGCGGAAGTTCTCAGCCGGGACGCCGCAAGCCTCGAACATGCCGTCCAGCAGCTGGCGGTGGTTCAGCTTTATCACATAATCTCCAATTTCGAGCGTGTCCAGGATCTCGGCCACGATCTTCACGCACTCAGCGTCGGCAAGCATAGGGTCGTAGGTGCCGGCGATGTCGAAGTCGCACTGGTAAAATTCCCGGTACCGGCCGCGCGTCATGGCCGGGTTGTCCCGCCGATAGACCTTGGCGATATGGTAGCGCTTGATGCTGGATATCTTGTTCATGGCCAGGTAACGGGCGAGGGGCACCGTGAGGTCGTACCGCATGGACAGGATCTCGCCGCCCTGGTCCTTCAGGTCATAGATCAGCTTCGAGTCCTCGCCGTACTTTCCAGTGAGCACTTCCTGTAGATGGGGAATGGGGGAGTCTATAAGCTCGGTACTGGGCGGGGGAGAGGTTCGGGACTCACCTTCAACTCAAAGACGGGCGTGTCGATGGCCTCGCCACCGTGGCGCTTAAACACCTGCACAATCTTGTCCAATACGCCCTGGCGCAGCGTCATCTGCTGGGGGGCATAGTCCCGGGTGCCCTTCGGCGTCTTCAGGGTGAATTTCTGGCTGGCGGGGGCCGCATCGCCGCCTAGTTGGGCCTTGAGGGCCAGCAGGCGGGCGACTTCCTCATCGATCTGCAAGTAAGAAGCGGTAGGTAGCGCTGCAATACTTTTGTCACAGATGGTAAGCGGTACTTAGATGCTAACCTTATTGATCTGTGCTTGTTGTTGTTGTTGTTCTTGTATCTGTTGTTGCTGTTGTGGCTCATGCTGATTTTGTTGTTCTTGTTGTTGTTGCTGTGCTTTTTCAATCGTTGATCTCGCGCGCACACCGCCAGGCGCCGCCAGCTGGTACGTTGCACACTGAAACGCAGCACTACAGCGCCACTGGCGGCCAATTGAACGCAACATATGTTTTTTTCGGTTTTGGTTTTTGTTTTTGCTTTTGTTTACTTTCAAACGTTTTTTTTGTTACTTCGTTTGTCTTTTCTCTCTCTCTCTCTCTCTCTCTCTCTAACCTTCTTATTTTCTTTTCTGCTCAAAATTCGGCCAACTTTCTTTAGCAATTTGCTTTTTCAAACCTAATTAAACAACAACAACAATAAATGAAACTTTTTTAGATTTGAGCCTCTCGTTCGCTTGCGGTTACTTTTTTCGACTTATTTTATGACTAAATTGTGTTAGTGATGAAATAAGGTGAATGTACAATAAAAACGAATGCCTGCGTATATGTGTGTGTGAGCGTGTGTGTGTGCAGTCTAAACCAAATGTAGTCGAAGCCAGAATTAAAAAACAATACAATATAATATATTGCGTTCCATTGACCGTCAGCGCTGATACGTTTTTTTTTTCGTTTTTTTATTGAAACACTTTTATATGGCACTTGAACACTCGGAGGGAGGCGGAACGGAACCAAACAGGAATGAGACGCGCGGCGGCTGGATGAGTGGGGTGGGTGATTTTGGGTGGTGGGCTTGAAGGACACACAGTTCGCTGAATTGAACACTGGTTCTCACATCCTTTGCATCAGTGTTCCGCCAGATGGCAGCACTGGGGGGACAGGGACAGCTGATCTTGCATTCACACACATGCACAGCACACATATGCACACACTCATGCAGAATTTTGACACTAGACGTCGAGTTTCTTAAAAAATAATGCGGTCTAGCAGGTTTTTGTGGGGAGAGGGGGGGGGGGGGGGGGGGGGCCGCAACAGAACAGCTACTATAACCACCATGTGCCCGTCGCATATGCCTCCTGCTTGACCAGTCGCTATCATTCGCCAGTATTAGTCATTCAGTCAGTCAGTCAGTCGGTCACACACTGACTACTAGTACAACAATGTTAGAGGCCACAAAACCTCTCTTGACTACTGCCCGAATGTGGATGGATGTGCATTTTGATGTGAGGTGGAGTGGGATTCAAGCGGGAATCGTCCATTTCGATGTATAATTTAAGAGTGCAATGCCACAGCAACAAGACAAAAAACAAAAGCAACAACGGCACAAGCGAATGTGAAAGTTTGCAGAGCGCGCGCGCTCTTTGTTGCTTTTGTGTTCGCATTATTGCTATTTCTGTTTCTCCTTCTGCTGCTGCTGCTGGCTCTGCATTCAATCTAATTACTGTAAAATCCGATAAATTGAACTGCCAACGTAGCACTGAATCACAGAGCGGCAGTTGCGTGGATTCTGATTCTGTAAATGCTGACGAAATACCTAACCCTGATTGCGCCCTAGGATGGTGATGGTGCAACAGGGTTTGGGATAAGCAGCAGCCATTCAGTGAAGAAGGGAGTTGTGTGTGGGGGGTGTGGAGACATAGGGTTTCGAGCCTTTACAAGAACAATTGCATTATTTCTATGTACACACACAATGGTGGTCATTGGTTACGGCCAGTGGCTGGTGGCTGTTGCTGCTGGTGGCTGTGGCATGCATATGGTGGGGGTGAGGGGCTGCTGTGCGCATGTAGCAAACAGAACACTGACCTTCTCCTTGGACTCCTTGGCTCCCTTCAACTGACGCACGAGATCGCCTTGCTCTTTAATTTGCTCCAAAATCTGTTCACGCGAATCACTCATATTCCAGCCAAAGACAATAGAAAAATCGGCAGCACGAGAGGCACAGCAAGAGTACACTTTTTCGCGGCAGTGGCGGATTTTTGCGAGGCGCAAAGAATATATTTTACTTCCTGTCAAGGGGGGTTTCGGGAGACGTCAATTCAGTGAAATATACTACCTGACGTCACAAATTTTAAAATATACCTTAAAAATACTGATAAATTATTAGTAATCAAGTTCCATCATATTCCTCGTCTTTGATATTCGGTTTAATATTACTAGCTAGCAAAGGCTTTCAGCTCACAACTCATAATTTTGACCGCTTATTAAATCGGTTTCCTACAAGAATAGTTAAATTTAAGTTTTCATCTTTATTGCATTGCTTGTAAAATAAGGTTTAAGCTTAACCGGTCGACAACAATTTCCACTAAATAATTTTCCGTACATGGTAACTACACAGTTCCTACATATTAACTACATTTGTATGTAATTACCAAAAGCGACACCTAAAGGGGTATTTTTTGTGCTTTTTTATTTATATAAGCTTCATAGAAGCGCTAGCGTAAAAAAACCACAATTTTGCCTCCGTTTTCGACATGCTCTTTTTCTGACATTATTAAAAAAACTTCAGATTTTGATGGCCGGAATTCGATGCTAATCACGAATTAGTATGTGGTCTGGGACATGGCTCTAAATGCCATTTCTACACGGTTTCTACATTGGTGCATTGGACAAGAAGATGGGTCCATAACGCGTCTTAAAATATACTGGAAAATACTATGACAAATTTGCAAGGTGTGTGAGCTAGACATGGTGGCAAGAAAATCAGTGTGACCTCGAACTTGGCGATAAAATATACGGTCCAAATATACATATACCGATGACAAAAACTTAGCCCACTTAAGGCCACTCTATTTAAATAGTTCAACGACTTGAGGTAAATGGCGAAAAATATTACTGATTTTAGATCCATGCCATCTTTCCTCTGAACTTAAAAAAGAACAACGATGTCTTTCACCTGAACTGCGCTAAAACGATTCCATTTTCATTAGTTTCGGTGGGTGCCACCCTGGCTTACAAGGCTTACAATCGTTCACCGTCAAGGATTGGAGGCCATATTCCTCGATTTTGGTATTCCGTGGGTCCCTTTTCTTTGGATTGTGTCTAAAATTAGGTTTAAACAAATAAAACGTAAGTGAATAAACCAAACCACCAGCTGATTAATCGTAATAAAATTTTTGTCGTGTTTGTTTTTTCATTATCGATGCACAAATATCGATATTTGTGTGCGATAGGCGGAGCGAATCAGCAGCATTTATTTAAAAATTGATCATTCTCACGGAGTGCATTGTGTAATCGATACACCGTCGAATTCAAAACAGCTTTCCTTCCAAAAACGATCATAACAGCTGTATGAGCATTAGTAACTCCTCAAAGTCTGACTCAAGCTGCTCCCTGCCACGCAGACGCAGACCCATGTAGATTGCAATGCGTCAGCTGCGCTGCCTGGTTGTTTAAGCTGATTCTCTCAAAGCTCAAGTAAGTTTTATTTATGGATAGGAGCTGGCTACTTGGACTCTCTTTGATTGTGTCTGCACGTACGGAAACTGAAAGTGTGCCACTAATGTGAGAGCGTTATCTGGGAGCAGAACGTTCTCACCTGTTGCAGAGCTTACTGTCTAAGCTTATTCTCTGCGCGATCTTTCTCTCTCTCGCTCTCTCAGTCTCTCTGGCAGGCTGTGCAGTGTGTGTGTCGTGTGCATAAGCTACAGTTAGAAGTATAGATGAAAATGAAATCGATAATAGATGGAGCGGCGCCAATTTTTTGCGAAGCGGAGTCGAAGTGCGGCCTCGGGATCCCCGAAGCTCCATCAGTCGGTCGCGACAACTGCTGAGTGACGGGTGACGATTGTGGCCCCACACCATATAATATACATATATTGCCACACACACACACCCCATTACGAACTAACGGCGATCGGTGATCCGTGGTTGAGAGACTGAGCCAAGCGACAACTTCTTCGGCGCAGCATTTTGTTATAAATTTAAGTTTTTCATCCTCTGCTTCTGTTGTTTTTATTTTTGTTATATTTTGTTTTTATTTTCGCTTGCGACCGTATTTTTTTCGGTGGCTCGGTTTTTTCGAGTTTTTTACGGTCAAGGCTTGAACCTGACCGATCAATCGCTTTGTAAACGTTTAATTTGTGTTAATATTTTGTGTCCCGTTGGCAAGCTGATCACGAAAAATGAGGTAAGAAGTGGGGTTGGAAAGTGCGTGGAGGGGAGGGATGGAAGGTGGTGAACCGTTCATCCAACCCATGATGTGCACAGTACACTTGAATAGGTACCGCTTATCGCAGAGCATATATGTAGATCTCATTTTGATGGAGAAGTAGCTCTTATCGGAGGAGATTGCACGTCTGCATCCCTTCCTTTGGAGTGCTCTCTCCGGTTATAACATTTCATTTGTGTAAATATCAGCAACAGAAAATAGAAAACAGAAATTAGATATTACCAACGTCTGTATGTTCAGGTGGCATATGTTTCCTTTTCTCCACTTTAATCAGTTCTTAGACATGTGGTTCCTTAGAAACAGACATACCCATGCAGAGTATTACAGAATAGAAAAAAAACCAATCACAGAAACTAGCACAGATAGACATCAGCCTCTGTTCTGTTCTGTTTTGTTCTGTTTTGTTCTGTTCTGATGTTCTCTTATCGAGAACTTCTGCATTGCTCGCGTTTTCTTGTGGCTTGTACTGGCTTTTACTGCAGGTGTAAAAAAAAACGTCAATTAGCGATTTAATGGTTTATGGCCTAGAGTTTACGATCCGCCAATAAGTTCTACATAGTACAGGGCTGAGATATGGGGGCGCAGCCATAGAGATATATGATAGCCGAAATGAAACAGAAAATAGCCATTCATTCAGCAGGAAATCGCTCGGATATACTGTATAAACTTTATATTGGGATATTCTGATAAGACATCTGTATGACAACACATTGCTAAGAAGTCACAAATTCAATTACAAAGTATTTACTCGTAAAATCAGTGATTTACAATACAATATCCGAATTTGGATGCTGATTTGACAGTCCACCCTCATGCCATACTTAGCATCTAAAACTGGTTTTTTTTTTCGCATCGTCAAAAGTTCCCCTGACCTCCGGAAATATTTGAATAAATTATAGAAATCGCATGGATAGAGAGGAACGGAGGAGAGCGTGCAATTATCTGCTGGGTTTTACAACTGTTGAATGGGCATTGGCGTTGGGGCGTTGGGGCTGAAGCTGAATTAGTACTCAATTAAATTGCATTACCGAAGGTACAAAAGGTAGGACTACGTCCATCCTCCCTGACGTCACGGGAGTCTTTATCTCTTTAGGAACTGGTAGACGAACGATCCAATGACGGGGCACTTCCATTGTCACCGACTGATAAATTTTTTAAAATTTCTTTTTGGATTTGAGCGGACTGCCTAGTGTTGCCGATTTCGTAATTAATAGATGTTCGTTCTGGGAGCCTTCTGAAGCACTTTTATCTGGAATACATCTTCAAAGTTGTAGAATTTTTAATTTGGGATTGGGATTCCATACCAAACTTTCCACAGCATCCCAGATGAGAATCGTTATCATTTTGCCATATCTAAAGACCACGCCCTAGTCCACGTCCAAGTCCAAGTTCAAGTTCAAGTTCCATAGGAAATCCCTGTCACGAGCGCCACTTGAGCGTTCTCATCGCTTCCTCCGCTTATCGCAGGACTAATTACGAGTAAAACCTACGTAGATCTAAAGCTCTAGAGCTGTTTTATGGCTACCGTCGGCACCAACGGCGGCAACGCATGTTCAATTGGAGGCGAGGCCATGAATCGCGGAAAAATCGCCAAAGAATGATCCCCGACGCCGAGGGCCCCACGAAGTCAAAGGGGCCTTAATCTGCGTACGCGTATCGTGTCGTATCGTATGGATCACGTATCGCTAGGATGCGATTATACGCAATGACCGGCATAATCATAAAAATTGCTCTCCGAACAAATCTACGTTAATTATAGAAAATTGCTTGTTAATAGCACTTGTCGCGTTTTGTGATCCGTCGGTTGGCATTTTTATGAGCACACCGATCAAGAACGCTATCAGAAAAGCCGATAAGAATGGTACACACGGACACCCCTCTGCCCCTTTTGGAAGGTGCGGTATGTGGCCCGAGGGTCTCCAGTGCGTGATGATGACCAGCTGAAATGGCAGACACGGCGGTGAAAAATGTCCCGTGTCACGGCCACTCGAGAACTGGACACTCATTTATCCACGATCCCAGATAGCGGCTATATTTATGCCCTTGATTCCAGGGTCGCTACGTGTATTCCCGGTATTTTGCTGTTGAATCTTCTTTTCGGAATCTGCTTCTGTTGAAAGGCTGGCTATTTTCGGTTCTCCCTGACTCCATTCTTTTTTTCTTGTCCTTCGGTCTTTTGGTACTGTCCTACTTCAATGGAGAATGTCTATGTTTATGGGTATCGTGATGTTGAGGCACGCGTGCCATTCCGACTGGTTTTTTATGAATCTTCAGACTTCAGTCAAGATTTTTTGATCTTCCTTGAGGTTCATTCTTGAGGTTAATTCTTGGTCCATTACAACATTGGCGTAGTGTACAACATTGGCGTAGGGTATGCCGCATTCCTTTTGCGTGGATGGCAATTCGAAGGTGACTCGGCGATTCCCAGACCAGAACTCGGACTGCGACTGCGATCGCGATCAAATCAAAACATTATAGAGCTAATCAGAAAACGCAGATCTGCAGACCGATAGGGTATTCGATTAAACACTCGACCAAATCCCACTTGAACCACTCGAGCGGAGAGCTGGGTTGGTTTTGGAGTGGAGGTTGGAGTTGGCTGTTGATTGAGGATTGAACACTGAAAATTTAGATTTGATGATTGATCACTGATGGGTCCCGTCTCTCATTGCTCTTGGAACTGCTTGCAGGTTGGTGTGCAACAAGAAGACCCTTCTATGGGTTCTGCTGGCAGCTGTCCTGGTCACCGCATTGACGCTGGGCCTCGTCTTTGGGTTAAAGAGCAGCGGAACGCCCCTCATCACCGGCGCTGTGGTCTCGAACGGTATCGGATGCGCCGCCATAGGCGGGAACATGCTGGAGGAGGGCGGCTCGGCCGTGGATGCGGCCATCGCCACACTGCTGTGTGAGGGCCTGCTGTTGCCCCACTCGATGGGCATCGGAGGGGGCTTCGTGGCGACCATCTACACAAGAAGTACGCGTCGCGTGGAGACGGTGATTGCGCGCGAGTCGGCACCGGCGGCGGCCCACAAGGACATGTTCGTAGGCCAGACGGAGATTACGGGTGCCCAGGCCGGGGCCGTGCCGGGGGAGATCCTGGGCTACTGGGAGATGCACCGCAAGTACGGTCGCCTACCCTGGAAGGCCCTCTTCCAGCCGTCGATAAAGTTGGCCCGCGAGGGCCACGTCGTGTCTCGCTACCTGGCTGCGGCAATCCAATCGAAGCTGAGTCAGATCCAGGACGAGCCGTCGCTAGCCTCCATGTTTCTAAATGAAAACGGGGAAGCCTACGTGGAGGGCGACTACATGAAGCGCACCACTCTGGCCGACACCCTTGAAAGGATTGCGGAGAACGGAGCCAGCGAGATCTACGACGGGGGCGAGACTGGGCGCAAGTTCGTGGAGGACATCCAGAAGCTGGGGGGCATCATCACCGAGCAGGATCTGAAAGACTACCGCGTGCAGTGGGATAGCGACGGGCACATCGCGGCCAACGTGACTGGCGGGTACACCTTATACACCACGCCCCTGCCCAGCAGCGGCCCCATTCTGGCCTTCATCCTCAACGTAATGGGCGATCTCTACACGGACGACAAGGGTGTATACTGGCAGCGCGCCGTGGAGGCCTTCAAGCATGCCTACGGGCAGCGCACGAACCTGGGCGACTACCTAAGCGACCCCGTCAGCGGGCCCAGCATCCAGGAGACTCTCGAGAAAATTCTCAGCCCCGAACTGGTGGCCGATGTGCGCAAGCTCATCCATGACGATACCACCTCCCAGGACAATCTGTACTATGGGGCCAACTTTTCCGTGGAGGCCGACCACGGCACCGCCCACATGAACGTCCTTGCCACCAACGGCGACGCCGTCTCCATCACCAGCACCATCAACAACTAGTGAGTGTTGGGATATCAGGGAATCCGAATCCGTATCCGAATCCGAATCCGAATCCGCAGCTAATAAATGTTTCTTTTTGCAGCTTCGGCTCCAAGGTCGCCTCCGCACAGACGGGCATCATCCTGAACGACGAGATGGATGACTTCTCCACGCCGGGTGTGATCAACAGCTTCGGCGTGCCCGCCTCGCCGGCCAACTATATTTACCCCGGCAAGCGTCCAATGTCCTCGATGTCTCCCGTCGTCATTGTGGATAGCGACGGAAATGTACGTCTCCTGGTGGGGGCTGCTGGTGGCACCAGGATCACCACAAGCGTGGCAATGGTAGGGCGGCAGAAAATGATTTAATATCAGAATACCAGCAGATTGCTTATGTATGCTTTTCCGGACGCAGGTCATAATGAAGTACCTAATTCGCCACGAGACCATGGAGCATTCCGTCAACGATGGCCGCATTCACCACCAGCTGGTGCCTATGCGCGTCCACTACGAGAGCGAGGTGGAGAGCGAAATTGTTGAATATCTCGAAAAGGTGGGCCACACCATGTACCAGGAGCCGGCTGGATCCAGCTTCGCAGCCGTCACCGCCATCGGATCCCTGAATGATCCGGAGCCGTTCTTTGACCGCCGCCGCATCGGTAGTTCCCTAACTCTGAAAAATCGCAACAAAATGCAGCACTAGTGGCGTGGTTTAAGCAGCACTCGGTGCTTGTGATTTCAGTTTTATTTATTAAACATAGTATTATTTTTAGTCACAATTAAGGAGGAGAAATGCAGAAACTGTAAATAATTGTTAAAGAATATTTCGAATAGAGAATACTGTGGCTTCGATTTTTTTTTGTGTAAATAACCGGTTTGAACAGCCGAATAAAAGAATTTTAAAAAGTTAAAAATTCTGTTTTAATTCAATTCAAATTCAAATTCGAGTAATATGTTCCGCATGTTCCTAAAAAGCTATTTGATCGTATGTTTTTTTAATTTTTAACGCTTTTTTTGTTTTGTTTTGCATTTTTCTGCATTGTTTCACTGGATTGCAGTCACATTCGTGTTAAAAATTCCAGTTTGGCGCGCAGCTATAAAAAGAACAAAAAATTTAAGGCGCGTGAGAGGAGGGGAGGTGATTTCAGCATTAATAAAAGGAAATAGGGTATACAAATGCTATACTCCATAAATATATAAGATATACGAGTAGGTCGCTTTTGATGTACAAAAAGAATAGAAAACAAAAATGTACGGCAGGTTTTTAGGGCAATTCGATAGCATTTTGCTAGCTCCATGTTTAGTACAAAAGATTGAGTTCCTACAATTTTTAGTTTAGATAATGATAGAACTAAATATGTGGTCGCGAACGTACGCGAAATATAAGTCGCCTTTGGCTTTATCTAGTAAAATAGAAAAATCTACAAAGCGGAACAGAATTTTCTGAAGCAATTAATTTATTTTAAAAGAGGATTAATGTTGGTTTCTATCAAGTATTATACAATAAATTATCTTTGTTAGTGTTTTTAAAATTGAATTAAGTGCCGGTCGCGAACGTACGATTTTCCATGTGCTTTTTTACTTTATCACCACACATTCTCCCATAAATCACTTCGTATTTATTTTACTTCGGCTTTTAAGGGAGCCTTTGAGGAAAAAATTTCATCAAGAATCATCTTTCTTATAGAAAATTGTAAGGGAAAACGACTGTAAAAATACCGGAAAAGTGTGCTTATTTTAATAGGTTTTCAGATCAAAGTTAATGAATTTATATGCTAATTGGTTATGGATATGGAAATATGTTTTTATTGACTTTTAAGCTTTTTTTCTTCGGTTGACATTTCCACGGCATTGCCTATATAGCAAATTTGTAGTTACCGTGTAGTTACCATGTAAAACATTATCATTTTATTTTATTTTAAATTTCATTATCATTATTTTTTTAGGGCTGAAAGTCCTAGCTAGCTAGTAATAGTCAATCAAATATGAAAATCGGGGGATTTGGTTTTCGAACATGGACAGAGAAACATTAAGTCAATCAGTCATTAAGTACATCAGTGGATAATAAAACACACTCCATTCAAATTATTAAACTTGAAAGATATCGGGGTCTTTTTATTTATAAATAAAGATAAGCAATTTACTTATCGAACTAATGGAAAGTGTAGCAGGTCACACTGGTTGTACAACGTCCACACTGCTAGGCTTTTGTAACTGTGCGTAAATTAAATTCCGTTTTGCACTTCATTTATATTAGTTTATACTGATGCCTAGAGATTCCAGTCCAGTCTCACATGCGCCGGGTAAAAAAAAGTGATTGAAAATTAGCTAAATGACGTTTAATAAAAATAAGTAAAGCGAGAAGTAAAGTAAGTACTCTCTGCTGCGACGAAAAAATGAGTCGTAATTTTGAATGAATGATTATGATTGTCTTCAAGGTATATTGGTCAGATGAGGTGGATTTCACCTTGCATGCGTTCCACTTTCTGGGCCTTGTTGCCTGTTGTCCATACCCTCTCAATTGACTTCCTTCCATGGTATATTGGGCAAATGGTGTGGGTTTTACGTTGCATGCGTTTGCATTTTCTGGGCCGTGTTGCCTGTTGTCCACACCCTCTTTTTCCTTCCGTTTTAGCAATTTGTGACCAGTTGAACACCTATTTTTTGTTTACGTTTACACCGCTGTATTGTTGCATTATTGCACTTATAAAAGTTTGTCACAGGAACGCGGCTGACAGAGCAGTTCGGCATTCAAAAACTATAGAGCTGGCAAAGCGATCGACATCTCACTGCAATTAGAATACGCCATCGGCCATTTAGTAATTCTTTCGAGCCGCTAAGCTCACTTGTCATTGTCGGTGAGAGTCTTTTGATCACCTGGTAATTCTCTCGCTAACACAGACACACATGCAGGCGCACAGGTAAATCACGCACACCATCAGCAGTCAATAGAAGCAGCAGCAGCGGCCATTTGAAAAAAAATTCTGTGGGCCGCATCGCGAGGCGTTAACTTACTCTAATCACGGTCCGGCTTCGGCTTCTTGGTGGCTTTTATTGCTCTTACATTGGTGGTCGTGTGGCCGCGCTTAGACACGTCAACAGAATCGCCGAGGGGCGTGGAGAGAGCCAAGCGCTGAGAACTGGTACAAAGATGCGTGTTAGCCACATTCGCAGCGGCCGCGTCTGCCGAGTGGCCCTGTGCCTGCTGGTCATCTTACCGCTGCTCTACCTCTTGGCCAACTGGAGCGACCACCACAAGCGCGTTGAGGAGGCCTATCACTCTCGTTTCGGCGGCCCCAAGTTCAGTCACCAACGGCTGGAGGGACGGCCCCGCGAAGTACCCAAGCTAATCGAAGGTAAACAAACATAACTCCCGCCTCCGCCACCGGTGGTGGACCTGTTTGAACAACTGGTGCCCCATATCCATTTCGAGTATCATTCTAGTATGAGCATGCACTTATGTATATTTTTGCAGGGCTTGGTAACTTCGAGCCGAAAGATCTGAAGCCACGTAGCGGACCCGGGGAGAACGGGGAGGCCCATAGCCTGTCGCCGGACAAAAAGAACGTTGCGGATGACTCCGAAATGGAGTATGGGATGAACATCGCCTGCTCCAATGATATTTCCATGCATCGGTCAGTGCGCGACACGCGCCTCGAAGAGTGCAAGCACTGGGACTACCCATACGACCTGCCACGTACCAGCGTCATTATCGTCTTCCACAACGAAGGCTTCTCGGTGCTGATGCGCACTGTTCACTCGGTGATTGACCGCTCGCCCAAGCACATGCTTCACGAGATTATCCTCGTGGACGACTACTCGGACAAGGAGGATCTGCGCAGCCACCTGGACGAGTACTCGAAGCAGTTCAATGGCCTGGTGAAAATCATACGCAATAAGGAGCGCGAGGGCCTCATCCGGACGCGATCCCGTGGAGCCATGGAGGCGACAGGTGAGGTTATTGTGTTCCTCGATGCCCACTGCGAGGTGAACCTCAACTGGCTTCCACCGCTGCTGGCACCCATCTACCGTGACCGCACTGTGATGACTGTGCCCATCATCGACGGCATCGACCACAAGAACTTCGAGTACCGGCCCGTTTACGGGACGGACAACCACTTCCGCGGCATCTTCGAGTGGGGCATGCTGTACAAGGAGAACGAGGTGCCTCGCCGCGAGCAGCGACGACGAACTCACAACTCGGAGCCGTACCGAAGTCCGACGCATGCCGGTGGGCTGTTTGCCATTAACCGCGAGTACTTCCTGGAGCTGGGCGCCTACGATCCCGGCCTGCTGGTGTGGGGTGGCGAGAACTTTGAGCTTAGCTTTAAGATCTGGCAGTGCGGTGGCAGCATCGAGTGGGTGCCGTGCTCGCGCGTCGGCCACGTCTATCGTGGCTTCATGCCATACAACTTCGGCAAGCTGGCCAGCAAGAAGAAGGGACCGCTGATCACTATCAACTACAAACGTGTGATTGAGACGTGGTTCGACGATACGCACAAGGAGTACTTCTATACGCGCGAGCCGCTGGCTCGCTACCTGGACATGGGGGACATCACCGAGCAGTTGGCTCTGAAGAAGCGCCTCGGCTGCAAATCCTTCCAGTGGTTCATGGACCACATCGCCTACGACGTCTATGACAAGTTCCCCGGCCTGCCGGCCAACCTCCACTGGGGCGAGCTGCGCTCGGTGGCCTCAGACGGCTGCCTTGACTCCATGGGACACCAGCCGCCGGCCATCATGGGGCTCACCTACTGCCACGGAGGCGGCAACAATCAGCTCGTGCGCTTGAACGCCGCCGGCCAATTGGGCGTCGGTGAGCGCTGCGTCGAAGCGGATCGCCAAGGCATTAAGCTGGCCGTCTGCCGTCTGGGTACCGTCGACGGACCCTGGCAATACAACGACCACACCAAGCATCTCATGCACCGCGTCCATAAGAAGTGCATGGCCCTGCACCCCACCACGCAGCAGCTCACGCTGGGACACTGCGATGTTAACGACAGCTATCAGCAATGGTGGTTCAAGGAGATACGTCCGCGCTGGTAAGACGACAGTCCCACGGAGAAGCTTGAGGAGGAGGAGCAGAGGGAGGCGTACGAAAATGGAGGAGTACGCAACGGAGGAGAGAATGCAAAATCTCAATAGGGTTTCACCAAGGCCGTGCGCGTGAGAGCCGTCGAGGGGGAAGGGACGAGCCAGATTTTAGACAAAAGCAATTTAGTGAAAATGAGAAATGGAATTGTTGTTGGTTTTTTAGCGCATATACATACAGATATACACACAGAGACAGACATTTTTGAAACGCACTGTTATGGCAGGAGGCACATGACGTAGGCATCCTGTCGGCAGGGGGCCTCGGGCTCGACCAAGGCATCAAATGCCATGGGATATTAGGGAGACGCACTTTAAGACACATTTCAATGATATTACTTGTACACGAAATTTGGAAAACGATATTCATGATTTCAAATCAAATTGTGATGGGATGGGGGGAGGGGGGAGTAGGGCAGTGGTGTAGTCCCGGATAACATTGTGTGTTGCCTGGAAATTGTACAAGATATTCTTCGAGCATTGTAATTCACATATAACCATGTTTAAAATCCGTCTTATAAATAATGTTACTCGTGAAACATTCAATATTCATAGTCAGTTATAATAGGAATAGGGATAGCCATCCCAATGCCAAGTATTGTTTAGGATCTTCAAGATCACCTTTATGACTAAATGTTAGAATAGCAATATTCAAAATTTAGATTCGAAATTTACGAAATGATACAAAAGTACGATACATGAATAATGAGGAAAGAGGCAGTGAATGTGAGGCTATTCCGAAAGAAATGAAAAGCTTGCCAGGATATTTTAGATACGAGTATATCAATCGAGAAATCTCAATATTTGTCATTGCCATTTTCAATCAATCAATCAACAACAACAATCAGGACCCAGGGCCTCTATGCTATAGGGATGGCCATGCCCATGTCCCCCCTGTCATGCTTTACTAGTGCGCCTGAGTGAGAGTGAGAGAGTGCGATAGATGGAAATGAAAGCGAGGGAGATGGCGATTGAGGGAGGAAGTCGTTGTGCAATAGAGATTCAAGATAGAATATGACAGCGGGTCGCAGATTTTTTTGTTTGCCTATGATTGCCAACCCTGCACACAAAACAAAACAAAACAAAACGAAAATCGATGTAAATGTGCTTAGTCGTATATGCTTTACTATTACTGTAATTCTGATTCAGTTACTTATATGAGTACTACTTTCCAAGTTTCGATGATGATGATGCTATCACATTCCAGTCCAGGCGTCCAGTCCAGTATCCAATCAAGTCCCCAGCTACGGAACCACCAGAGATAAAGAAAAAGCTTTCATTTAACCATCGTTTTTTTCGTTCTCGGTTATACTCTTTGTACTAAGCAATCGTAGTTGTAATCCGTAAATCCGAATCCGATCAACCTATCGACTGGCCAACATCTAACGGTACTGCTTATAGTGTACGATTTTTTAAAACAATATTTTACATTGAAATGTAACTAGAGCTATCGAATAAGTCTGAATAATAGCATAGAAATAAACACGTTTTTAAACACTTTATCTTGTAAAGCCCATATATAGCATTATATTGTTCCTATCTATGCCAAATGTAAGATATGTGTGTAACGTCCCCCCCAGTCGCCCTCATCCAAAGCGCTGAGTGGAGAGGAATCATATCTGCAACAGAGAATCTCTTTTGAACGAAAGACACAGGCGAGCGCTCGAGCTCTCATTCTAAATTAGTCGTTCATTTCAAGCGGGACTGAGGAATGAATGCATTCATGCAGATCTGCAGACTATAATCTGTAATCATATGTACGTACATATGATCCACATGTGGATCTTAATTTAAGAAAATGATTTAGAACTGATACTTTAATCAACTCAACAATATCGATTCGCAATTGCTGGCCGAAGTGATTGGAAATGCTGATGGTGGAGCATGGCCATGGCCCCTCCAGAAGGTGCTCGATTTACCAAGTTCCTGGGAAGACCACTGCAGATAAAGTTCTGGGAAAATTGTTCGTAGAGGAGGAGCCAGTGGTTGGGCCATGACGTTGCGATACATTTCCATCACTCATCAAAACAGAACAATTCTCCGGGTGTTTGTTGTTTACGGATGATGACTGATGGGTCTTCCGATGGGTCTGGTCTGTTATCATCTGGCTAAACACGAGCCTATACCCTATACACCATAGAGACACGATCGGGGGGAGGGCGGAGTGGAACCCTTGATTAGATGTGAACGCAATAACACCAAAATTGTTCCATTTAATTGAGTGAAGTGGGCCTGGTTCTGGGGACGTGTTATCAGTATTATTGCTGCTACCCTTCCACCGGGCAACGCCATTCTGTCTTCGACGAGGGAACCTGCGGTACTCTCTGACTCTGCGGATCTGCTGGCAAGGTATCCCCACGTCGGATGGGCAACCGCTTCGCTGTGGCTGGGATTAGACATTGTTGTCAGTTGCTCCACTCGAAATTGGCAAATGGGCGATAAGGAGACTTTGACGCTGCCGATGCCACCGCCATAGCCGCCACAGCCGGAGCCGGAGTCGGAGCCGGAAGCGGGGCAGGGTGTGTCACGCCAAAGCGAATCAAATCAAAGACCTCTCCACTTAGTCGGAGGGCCCTAGTATAAATAGTAAACGCAGCCAGACCTTGGCTATCATTCCGCGACTTCCATTCGCCGAAACCACTGGAGTAGCCACTTTTTTTTTTATCTTCAAAAGCAATCCGATTCGATTCGATTCCCCAATCCCTCATAATGTGCAAGCTGAGTCTGAGTCTGTGTTTGCTGATAGCCCTCTTCGGCTGCCTTGCGGCCGCCAGTCCCGCCCGCCAGCTGCCTTTGGACAGCAGCACCCTGCGCGAGATCACCGTGGTAAAGAACGTGCGCTTGTTTGCCGCGCAGCACCCGGGGCTGAAGATCCAGCGTCTAGCAAAGCAGCCGGCCACAGCCCGCGGTGGTGTCGAGTCCGTGCGCTACACTCTCGGCGCCCGCGTAACCAGTCAGTACCCTCTCTCTCCACCCACCCCAAAAGCAGGCTGCGATCGAGGCTAACAATTGCATACTTTCAGGCGACAGCTTGGTAGCCCAGGGTGCCGATGTGTTCAGCTATCCGGCTTCCCAGGATGTGAGCGTACAGTTGACGTACCCGGAGGAAGGCGCTGGAGCAATCATCACTTACGTGGAGCTGATCTGCACCCAGGACAACAGCGAGGGCAACGCCTACGTGGTGGCCGGAGGCATCGGACAACGGTTCATCTCGATCATTCTCGAGGCCAGCCAGACCCGCAACTTCTCGTACCAGGCCCAGTACTATGGCCAAAAGTAGGATTCCCTGCTGTTGCTGCCCTACCGCTGTTTGTACAGATGTGTCGCACAGACCATGTCGCATGATCCAATATAAATATACGTACCCATAAATGTTGAAAGTGAAGCGAGTAACCGGTCATTGAATACCAGGCGGCGGGATCATATTTCATCCATCCACCATCGAGGGGTATTCGCTAATCTTCAGTAATTTGAAATTGTTTTCGTCGCTGCTCACGCGCCTTCCACTTGAAGTAGATGTCAGCCATCGTAACCGTAAATCTGAGCCAGCCACTCACCTAAATCTGGATCTGGATCTGATTTGGGGTTTCGATTTGATTAGCGCCCCGAACTCCTGCAGATCTTGTTGGATCTACATTTATGTGCCTCCCCGTTTTGATGGGAGTTCCGTGTTGCGTCACGAGTTGTGGATGACTTGCGGCTCTTTCTTCTTTGAACAGAAAGTATCCACTTCTCCCAATCGATCGAGTCGATAGTGCTATGGACAGGGCCAGGGCCGGGGACGGGGACGGGGACGCGGCGGCGCTCGACTCATTTTGCGTAGACGAACAACTTGACTTTGTATATTGGTTTATTTGTTCATTTGATTGTTTGTCATTATGCATATCAAGGTTTAGATTGCCACGAGTCAGCGAATAAGCAAACAAACACCCCTCCACGATGGGGGAGACAAAATTAATCATCGCACTATGCACGTTGAGAGATAGCGCTTGCCGAGAGTGATCTTTTTCATGCAGAACTCTCTGCTCGGAGTACTGGCTGTCGAGAGTATCCTCTGTTGATCCCTGTAACTCGTGGTTGGAGAACATCCAAATCCAAAGGGGAGTGAATCACTTGCCTAAAATTGTCACACTCGCCTCACGCCTCAAGCAATCGGTAATTTGACGGCAGCATGTTCCGATCGAATCCGATTGGAGGCGCTACGATCCGTTGCGATGCGATATGCCGATTAGGCCCTCGAAAGCTGGATGCCCTATTTATAGAAATTGTGCAAGGAGCAATACGAACAATTATGGCCAATTATGGGCTGGGAGCAGAGAAGCCGAGGAGCCGTAGCCAATTCTAGGGCTTATCGTTCGAATTGTCGAACCTTATCTGCGTGGCTGACCGCCGATAAGGACGGGCGTATAAAACAAGCGGCCCGCAGCTAAGGCACACCCAAACCCCAAAAAGAAACAGAAGGCATTAGAGCACCGCCACTACTGGAACCTCCCCCAGATTCCCATTTTTGTTGTTCTTCAAACTTTATTCTGTGAAATTTTTGGCCTGTGATGTCGCTGCCTGTTATCCTGATGCTGTGCGTGGTGACTGCGACGGTGCTGGGACAGCCGCATGCCCGCGCCAGTGACTTCTACTATTCGGACATCTCTCCGGTCACAGACGACAAGCGCTTCACCCACCTCTATCCGGAGGTGGAGCTATCAGAGATGAACAAGGTGAAGCACTCCAAGGGTAATATAGTCTTTACCAGCGGGGAACGCATCTCAGGTGAGTTTCGAACGAATTGGAGTCGATTCATGATCGATTTGGATCGAACTAAATACTCAACTAAATTCCCGTAGGCGATCGCCTGGTGGTGAACCACTACGACGACGAGAGCTTCGCCACCGCCGTTGACATCGAGGTACTGATGCGCTATCCCGCAGAGTCGAGCACGGGCGTGACCCTCACCTGCATCGAGATCTACGTAGACACGACGGCCAGCGATGCCGGCGGCTATCTGACCAGAGGTGGCATTGGCGAGACCATTGCTGAGATACTCCTCACCTCCAACGGGACGCGCAGCTTCGTCTACGAAACGTTCATCTATGGATACTAGAGCGCGGGGTCCGAGGAGCAGAACTCCCTTCAGATCAGTATACAAAGCAACAATAAAAGTTTCGCTTGGAACCCAACTGTGATCGTCCTGCTGCAGCCCAATTTGCAGTAGTATTATTAGCCTTAGATCCTGAAATTAAAGAAGAAAGTCGAACTCAACATTTTGGAAACCTATCAAACCTGTTTCGCTAATCAAACCTTGTGCCAAAACCGAAATACAACCCAGCCAGGACAGGGGTAAGGGGTAGCTTATCAAACAGAAAGATTTATTTTTACAGTCCGGGTTTCTCCCTGTCGCCGACCAACTGCGTCATCTTCGTTCAAGCTAATTGAAAGGCCTCAACGCCGCACCCCATGTGATCTAATAGATAAGAGTCGGCGCCGCCTCAAACAGACTCTCACATTTCACATGCAACGATGAGTCGGGATCCGGGATCGGAGTCGGAATCCAAAATTTGATTGGAATGATCCAGATTTCTCTTTCTACAGAAAAATTGACTAGGCGTCATTGTTGCACCACACACTAAACAGATCTGTGCGCTAGCAAAATTATGTGCACATATCTAGACTGCAGATCTTTTCTGTAGAGGGACACATGACTCGACAAAAAGATACCTGAGATCTCTATGAACTCTTCGAACTCCCCCCCCCCCCCCCCCCCCCCCCCACTCTATCCCACACTCCGCCACATGGAGTTTTCACGCTCTGTCATGGTTCCTGATATACTCTCCTATGTATACTTTGTGGATTCGGAAACGCATCCTTCTGATCAAGAATTGGATATACATCTGAACTCCATGAGCACCGGGTATAATGATGAATAATAAACGTGAAAAAAGACTCACACAATCTCCATGCCAGCTAATATTTCTCACAATCTTATCATTCAATTCTTGAGTTCCAAACGAATAATATCTTTCTATTTTCATATGTGTCCACTTTGAAAATTAGTTCTTATTACCATGCACATCACTTTGTTTACTCGCATATTCGCTGAATCGGAGGCTGGTGATAAGCCATGACTTGAGACAAAGAATAATATATTTATTTATATATATATATATATATATAAATATATATATTTTCAGGTTTTGATTATTGAAACAAAGCTCTCAGTTCTGTGCCGCCTACGACTTCCAACGCAACATGATACGGAAGCAGCTTGGACTTCTACTGACGGCTTTCATGACGCTCTCCGCTGGAGCCTATCCCAAGCTAGAGATATCGCTTTCAGGTACATCAAACCCTTTCCTATATTCCCTCCCTTGTGTCACCGGACTCATCCCGCCACTGACTTCCACCTAAGTAGAGGGGGAGCCGTGCCCTAGTCGCCCCGGATACCCCGAGAGCCGCTGCCTGGGCATCAAGAACTGTTCCAATGTGGAGCTGTATATTAAATCCGGCAATATGACGCTGTACGATGTGCTGGGGTGTGGAATTGGTGTTTATATGGAGCTCGTCTGCTGCCCCAACAAACTACCCAACCTCCAGACAGCGTCCTCGACTACGGATTCGTGGGTGACCGCTTCCAGATACACCTAGTTCATGCCCAACTACAGTTTCTTTCGTCTACAGAAGCCCCGCTGGTGTTGGTCCAATGGTCCCAGAGTCAGAGCCAAAGCACAAACGGAAGCCGGAACGCGAGCCCTATCGCCATGTGGTCTCCCTACAGTACTTGAACGCATTGACTTTTGACTCGTACGTCATGCGCTGTACGGGCGTCCTTCTCAAGGAGAACTTTGCTCTCACCTCAGCCGCATGCGCTGGCTCCTTTATAGCTGACCCGAACCATGTACGACTGGGCTTATCAGAGCCCTTCAAGGACGTTCTGGAGATCGATGTGAGCTCCAAATAGATTCCTTATGGGAAAAGCATTTAGTTTTTAATGAATTAAATCAGAAGGGACAGTCTGAGCTTCTTCACATAAAACTATTTTCCTTGACATTCGCAGAACATAACGTACCACAACAACGACCTCGTGCTGCTCCACATGAGCCATGGCTATAGCAAGGAGTTCATTGCCGAGGTCTGCAAGCAGGTGGACGTGGAAAACCGACTCAAATTAATCGCCGTGGGTTTCTCCCAGAAGAACGGTGAGTGACTTCATTGCAGTCCTTCCCGCTTGGGGCCTAATGCAACACGCTTTCCCTGTCGATTGAACAGAAGAGAACTGCTCGTGGTTCGAGAGGGAGGTGACTAACGTCACGTTCGACTCCTGCGATCGTGTGAGCATCAACCGTCCGGTCAGAGGCATCGACAATATCAACCACTTCTGCGTGAACCCCAAAACGGCCAGCCCTCGATCTCCGCCTGGATCCTGCGTGGAATGCTTGCGCGGTAGTGCCAGCATCCTATACGTGATCCGCCCCGACGGCAGCGATTGCGTGGCCGGCATTGCCACACCCACCAGCAAGTCCTGCATTATCACTACGCATCCGCTCTACTACACCAGCCTTCTCAGTCCGATCAACAGCAGATTCCTTAACGACGAGCTGTCCGGCAGTGGCAGCAGGACCTAGACAGAATCAACTAGAGATTGGTGGAATACACTATGTTTTAAGACTCAATCTGTGTGTGTTTGCGTTTTCACTCCCAACGTAATACAGATCCCTCTGCGATCAGTGTTGGGCTTTCCAGGACAAAAACGACATATGGTCTCTGATTTCAGGGGTTTCCCATTCCCCGAAAATCTCAGCCAGCTTCCGATGGGCAGAATCAATCATGCTCTAGCAGCTTCCTCTCCATCTGAATCGCCATCTCCGCACCTCGCATCTCTCTCTCTGGGTGCTCGGAGCTCGCCGTTCGCCGGACCAGTTGGGGGAGAGCAGCGCCAACTGTCAGTTGATCGCCAGCCGTGCAGTCGTTCGGTCAGTGCTTCCATCAGATCGCCGAACGTCAACAGCAGCGCCAGCAACAAAAAGAATAATAAGAGCACCAAGAACAACAACAGCAATAGGACAAAATCCCCAACATTTGAGTAAACAACAATCGAATGAGAAATGTTACGCCGAGGGAAATCTGGCGTAATTGTAGCTATGCTGATCTTGGCCAGCCTCTGCCTGGGTCGCTGCGAAGCCTACTTTAGCTTGGAGAGTGCGTAGCTTCTTGATTATCGATCATCAATCGAACGATACACATTTAAATAACTATCTTGCTTAAAGTATTTGCGGCATCGACCAATTACGTTCTGTTTTATATTCTCTATTGAATACCGATCGATATTTTGCAGCTGGCGATCCCTGTCCTACCGTGGGCTACCGCAGCCGTTGCCAGGCGGCAGAGGAGTGCGGTACAATAGCATCGCACATCCAGGTCGGACGCCTGACGCCCCAAACGATTGAGGGATGTGGATTCACGAGTCACGGCGAGAAGATATGCTGCCCACTCGAGAATGCCCAAGGCATGGAGGTGCGCATCGATCCAAATGAATCTCCAGCGACAACCACAACCACAGAAACCACCACCTCAACAACAACAACAACGACTACCACAACAACAACCACTACAACCACACCGATTCCCTGGTTGAATATTTTCCAAACGGATCGCGACTACCTCCTGCAGTCGATAAAACCCACCCGGCGTCCGACGCGGAACAGCTTTGTTTATCCGGACACCACGGAGGGGGCAGAATGCAGGGCCCCACTGTATGAGGGCGAGTGCCGGGTCGTCTCCGCCTGCCCCAGCGTGGAGCCGCTCCTGTCGCAAGGCCGACTGCGCGACGAGGACTTCATGACGTGTCGTGACGGAGCCCGGGAGGAGATTATCTGCTGCCCCCTCAATCTTCCCCTGCAGCCACGAGGCCAGGTCAAGACCGCTCCCCGCCTGGGTGTCCCCTTGCCCACGCGAGCCCCGGTCCCCCAAGAGGTGGATCCTCAGGAGGCGGCCGCCATTGCCACGGCCGACGACCTGCTGCCCCATTACCGCCATCAGGGGGCCCTAGCCCATCCTAATGCCGCTTTCGACGGACATCTGCATCACTGCTCCGCCATTGTACTGACACCGCAGTTTCTCCTGAGTGCCGCTGGCTGCAAGCGGCCCAGCCATGTTGTTTTCGGAGTAGCAGACATGCGGGACGTCGACGTCGACGAGGACTACCTGGTGGACATTGTGGTGAGCCCCTTGCCCTTGAGGCCACCTCTCTCTTTCTCTCTCTGACGCTCTTTTTGTCTCTTTCGCTGTGAAGCGTTTGGCACAGTACCGGAGGGATCTGGCGCTTATGCGGCTGCAGGAGCCACTGCGTCTGGGGAGCGAGGCGTCTGCGAACGTCCGTGTGGCACCCATCTGCAGCCAGTTCGAGCTGACGCGTCTCCAGGTTAGTGGTCGCCTGGTGGCCGTCGGCTGGGGCAAGGCGGAAGACGCCGATTGCCCTATGTACGAGATTACCATGCGGCTGCGTCCCAACTGGGCATGCGCCGACCTTCCCAACTACGGCAGCGTTCAGGAGCTGCCCAGCTCGCACCTGTGCGTGGAGCCCCAGCAGCCGGAGACGGACCTGCAACCCTTCTCCAACGCCAGTTCCTGCGCACCATGCCCGGGCACCGTGGGCAGCGTGCTACACCTTGTGCGGCCCAACGCCAGCCGCTGTGTACTGGGCATCGCCACGCCCACGGGCGTCGATTGCGAGGCCCACGTCATGTACTACACGAACCTCCTCAGCCCCCAATTCACGCTCTTCGTGGAGCAGCAGCAGCGGCAGCAGCAGTAGTCGAAATCGTAGTCCCACAATCCAACTCGTAGTTAATTCAGTTTAGTTAGTATAAGCTGTTTAATTTGTTTATGCCAGTGTTTTAGCGATATGTAGAGAAAGAGAGCGGGTCCAGTGCGACCCACACACTAGTACTAGTATGACCCCCCCCTAATTAAGGCAGCATCAAAATAAGACGACAAAAAGAATTGAAAGCATCAGAGATCAATATACACATCCTCGGATGTAAGGAAATGCGGAAATATAGGACTATGCTCTCCAATTTCATTGAAGTGTTTTTCAGATTATGCAAACATCGTTCTACAGTGCGCCAATGTGCACACACACCTTTCATTCACCTCAGTGTGCACACACCATACAAATCTGAGCTCATCTGCTGTTTCAGCGCAGTGGAAATACCGCGTACTATACTGCCTTACTATAGTGCCTTCCTCCTCTCTGTAATCTTTGGCACATGTTGTGTGTCGTGATTCATGCATAAATTAAGTACATGTATGCACAGTCAAGATTCCGCTTAATGAAATCCCCTAGAACCGAATCGAATCTCCTCCAGGCTGTGCATTTCCCCAGACCAAAACCCATGCCCATGGCCATCGCTGGATCTGAGTCACAGTTGGGTTTCGTTTACTCTTTAATTACATCTCGCTCGCTCGCTCGCTCGCTCGCTCGCCTCGCTCTGGCTCTGGTTCTGGCTCTAGTGCTTTGGTGCTGTTTGGTTAAGCTCGATTCTGCGAAGAGCTGGCACCTAAAACCGGTCCGGTCCGCCGATCAGTGGGAGAGGAGGTCCAGAAGCACGAGCTTGCTTTGGGGCTCTGCGGCGTTGCGGCTTTGCCGCTGGTACTGATATCAGCTGCCCGTCCGGTCAGTCCAGTCCAGCCCCCGGCCCGGCTTCGGTTCTTGGTCAGGTCTGGTCTGGTCTGGGGTTCAGATTTAGTTGCTCAGGCGATGCGTTACCGATCGGTAGCCTTCCATACGTTTTGCTCCGTCCCCAACGAGAGCCTCGTTTCGTTCCGTTCCGTTCCGTTTTGCGATAGCCACCGGTTTTCAACTTTGTTGATCGTCTCCTATTTTATTTTTATTTCGTATTATTTTGTATATTATTTTTTTTTGCTGTGCTGCGCTTTGTTTGTGTTTTTCTCTTCAATTGAGTTTTGTGCCCGATTGCTTTATTCAAAGTACCCCCGGTCGTCCCGCCAGCCGCACTCACAAACAGCAAGCTGTATGTGCTAACACTTATTTCGTTATCAAATACCGAAAAAGGTCGTGTCAAAGGTGCGTCTGATAAGGCTCAAGTGGACTCGAATCAAGGGGATGCACCGGAGAGAGAGAGGGGAGAGAGCCAATTGCATGTTCTAAAACATTTACCATAATGCTCGTGAGTGATGTTAACAAAGGGAAGCCGGAAACCGAGAACTGTGAAACCGTTTTCCATAGAAAGTTGTTGTGTGTTCGGAGCGATCGCATCACCAGTCGATAGACCAAAAGAGAGCAAGGAAAGGGATAAAATTCATACTGTCAATATCAATATCATTATGAATCTCAACTAGGCTTTTCGATGCTTCGAATTATACAAAAGATTAAAAACATCTGGCCAGAGTCTGACAAAATTCCAGCAATATTTCATCTGCTGGAGAGACAGATCGGCTACTCTTTAAGTATATCGCCCTGCCCGGTTGGTTACTTCTGACATAGGTGCTCCGTTATCAGTGGCAGGTTGGTTGCCCCCTTTGGGGGTGCGTCAAAATGAATTTAGTGCTTGATTTCAGACATACGAAAAAACACCGAAAACATGCTGTGTCTTTGTCGGTGGTGAAATGTCAGATTAACAGCGCCGCAAACGGAATGCCCGGAGTGAATCAGTGAATCAGGGAGTCGTCTACCGTTGTGAAATTCCCGAAACTATCTCTGAAATGGTTTTTCACCTGTTTTCCCCCACTTCTGTTGTAGTGTAATTCCCATGTGGGTCAAAGCCAGGTTCATTATACTCGTAATCAGCTGTAAGACGATCTCTCAATGCTGTGCCCTGAACAAAAGCACACATTTATCTGGGGTGGACTCCCCCCACCTCTCCACTTGTCCCACAGCAGACTTGCATTCCAATTTTCTATATATTTTTGAATGTTTTCAGGAACTACAGAGATATAAGATTACGGTGTCATCCAGATGTCTAGACGTCAGGTCGGCCTGCTGTTAGCGGTCCTTTTCCTGCTCGATAGCTGTGGTCTAAACACAGCAAGCGAGGGTATGTGCCTGCCACATTCCCTATTTTGTGGCACACACTCTACTGATGCTCCTCCTCGTTGCAGAAGGCGAAGAATGCATGGTGAAGGAGAACTTGCCGGGCATCTGCCGCCCCTCGTCCGCTTGCGAGCCCTTCGTCGACGGGTACATCAAGTCGGGCATCCTCTCCATCAACGATGTCCCCAGCTGCGGCCTCGGGCCGCGCGAGGAGATTATATGCTGCCCCACGAAGCCCTGCTGCCCCAATGAGTAAGCCAAGCTGCCTCCTGAGTGTTTCGTGTTTCCAAGTGTCGTCCTGTTTTGTGCCCCGTCTGAGTTCTGTGCCAAGTGATGTTGCATGCCTCGCTTCAAACTCTGCTTCCATCGATAGACCACCAACATCTTCGACTAACTCCACTAACCCCATCCCCAGCCCAAGCTCGAAAGGAACAGCAACAGCTCCTGCAACTCCTCCTGCACCGTCACCTGCTCCTGCTCCTGCACCGTCACCTGCACCCCCACCTGTCACGATACTAGAACTGAGCCGGGAAAGTAGACTGGATCAGGGCGACAGCTTCTTCGACTTCAATCAGATCCTAAGCACGCCACGGAGCGTGCCACAGCCCACAGGAAAGGGCG